TCAATATTCATCGAAATACGAGCTGTGAAGTTGAGGATTTAATTTTTTTTTTTTTTTTTTTTGAAATGTAAACCGCTTGATTTCGATTGACAACAGCCCATATATATAAATAATATTCAAGTTTTTACAATTATAATATCTCATATTTTAGTTGTCTACCTTGGAAATAACCATAATTTATATTATCATAAATTTAGTTTTAATGCTGACAAAGTTTATAATAATTCTGGCTGGCACTAAATTTATATATTTGTAACTTATATAAAATATTTAAGAGTCACATACGTAACTTACAATGTAAGTCTCAATGTAAGTTACGTTGTAAAGTAAGTTATCCCAACCCTATATATAACGTATAGAATTTAATAAGGAGTGAATATGAAACTCGAAGTAGGAGAAATTTAAACCCTTAATAGAATTTCTAAGATAAGTTACAAATCTACAATTTAATTTCACGTCATGTAATTTGACCTATTTGGTATAGTTTACTTATAAAAAAGGATTGATTTCATCAACTGTCAGGTTTCGTTGTTCAAAATTATTTTACAGTCTTGTAATTAGTGCTCGGGTTGGGTTATGAGCCAACCTGAACCTGATGGGTTGGCCCGAAAAATTTACTAAGAACGCTTATCACTTTTTCAGGTCAGGCCGGATACGGATTTGCCCGACCGATGCGGAGCATTACAAGTTTCAAATTTTCGTAATTACGCCTGCCACTTACGAGTAAGCGAATTTTGTCCAATTTAGATAATATGAAATCAGGAAACTTTGATAATGGGTGTAATAAAGAATGATATGTTTGAACTAGAATTGTAATGTATCATGTCTCTATAAAAATATAAGAGCGTGTTATTTATGAATGATGATAAAAGTATAAGAAATAAATACAGAAATACAGTAAGTATGCCTACTTTGTAGTTATTTTGCCTTGCAAATTTATTATTGTCCCATGGAATGAGAGGTCTGTTAATGGCTCTTTCCGATCATAATATAAAAATATGATATAGTCTGTTGCCAAGGGGAAACAAAATACTAAACGCCATTCGGAATTATTATTGAAATTTATGTTATCCTGATAATTTATAGAAACTATACTTCCATTTGGATAAACCAAATGCAATAAATTCGCATCATTTGTGGTTTTCGCATACTGTAATAGCTTTTCATCATCAAATTGGTTTACTCTCGTTATATTCCCATATTCACTAAAATTATACGCTTCACCGTAATTTGATAACAAAATGATCATTATGGCAAGAAGCCAAATGACAAAACTCAAGATTTTATAAATATTCATTGGTTTTTTAGAGAATTCAGCAAAGGTTCTTTCTGATATTTCGCCTTTTACATGCTTGTATGAAATCATAATAATGCTTAACGAGATTTATAATGGCTTATTTCGTGTTATACAACATTTTTGTTTACTATTTTAGGGGTCAGCTATATCCGATATTGATCTACATACTGTATAAATTGAATTCTTATAAATGCTAGCATTAGATGCATCAAAAAAGTATCCTAACCCGAACCAGCATCTACTTATTTTTGTGAGTAATACAAACTCCTAAAAAGGAGCGAGGTCAATCTTTAATCATCCTCGAAGTAGATTTCGAGTAAGAAAAAGAGCAAAGAAAGCGAAACACTCGAAAACTAATGTTTAAATCGACCTTGATGCACTAATTAAAATGTCGAGTTAACGCCCTGTCTTCGTACGCACGTACGTAATTTATTTTCATACTGTACTCAATTTCCTTTTTTGGGTTTGTATTATCGCCAAAAAATAAGGGTGGTATAAATTTGGAAATGATCTATATGCTGCACATAATATCTTATTGATGCTTATATAAACAACTAACCATTACTGCATCAAAAAAGTAATTCTAACGCACCTTGCTTTAGCCATCCCCCAAAATAAGGGGTCGTTTAATGCCATGCCATCACGTGATACACGGCCAATAGGAGGAAAAAAAATGTGTAAAATCTATAAACCTACCTCAGGGCATTAATAAAAAATGTCAGGAAGGCAATTTTACTATAAGAGTTGCCTTTACCCTAACCACAAACTAACCCTTACCCTAATTTTAATTAAAAACTTAAATTTATATATAAGTACGTACGTACGTAAATGGGCCCCTATTTTATATCGAGGTTACACGGAAAAACAAAAAAGTATAATTAACTCTCTCATTATAATATTAACATATTTATATATTAAGGATGTGTGTTTTGTTTTGTTTCGGGTGTCGTCTAAAGCCGTGTGCATTCACGTAATACAGAGCCAATAAAATTGTTTGCTTTGGATCAGCCCGACGAAGAAAAAAAATGAAAACCGTCAAAAATACAAAGAACGAGTGTCTAAACCTACCTTGAGGCATTAATAAAAAATGTCGTGAGGCAATTTACTATAAGACCTACACTCACCTAACCCTTAATTAAAAAGTCAAAAGTTATGACCGCACACGGTTTTAGATGTACCCTTATTCGGTAATATTATATTAACATAAAATTTTCCGACAGCTTAAAATTATACTGAATTTCTGAAATTCCAGCATTTTACAGCAGATTGTGCACTGCTGTAATTTACGCTCCCTATATTTTATATCTATAAGTAGAAAATATTTTTTATTTCATTAAATTATTCCATTGTAAAGATATGTCCACGTCTTTACAATAGATATAACCTAGTAGCATAAATATTTCCGTACTTATATTTACATATACACTAAGGAGAATTTTTGGAAATGTGTATCTGCGTACACATCAAGATTTGACCAATAAAATTTCGATATTCTAACCCTATATTGTCGTTATTATGGTTATGAAGAAGACTAATATTGTAAAGAATTTATTTTATTACAAAACGTGCTACGTACGTATGTATGTAAATTCTGTGATACTTCGTTACATATATTTTGCTATATACTCACCTTAACATGAAAAAGAAAAAGAAATCATTTTACTTGATCATGGGTAATCGTAAATATTTAATTTGGCATCTTGTTGTAACGATTTTCTTTGTTAACTTGGTAATAAATCGTAGCGAAGCAAATGAAATTACGTACGATTTAATCAGTTATGGAGATCTGGTTACTGCTCGACAATACGATGACGGAAAACTTTTAATAGTTACCTCGAAGCAGGATAATCCAGAATGATTACATATCATTTATCAAAATGGAAGCGTAGTCACTATAAGTTATGAGGATTCTATAAATTTTAAAAATTCTAGTATCTGGATCATTGAGGATAGACACCCTTTAGCAACAAATTATGTCATTTTAACATATTATAGTCAATATGACATAAAGGATAATATTACCATACACGGAACTATTATAAATTTAGAGGGAAAAATTACAGCAGAGTAAATATTTTATATATGTATATATTTTTCTTTAATACAATGTTGTAACATTATTTTATTGTATTATTTGTAGTAATTTTATAGTATTGGACCATTTCAATCGTTCGAACAGGGACCGGTATTCTATTACAGGCTATAATGACATTTCTCAAAGTTTTATGATTACATATAAAAAATCCAATGATCTAAAATGGATAAAATATACGTTTTCGTAAGTTTTTGCATAAAATATAATGAATGATTTATATTAAATTCTAATAATTCCTATATCATTAGAAAAGTTGATGGCATTGCTACATCTATATCAAATGGATTCATCAAGTCACCGAGGGATGGTTATGATTTAAAATCTTATGTGGCCTTTGCTGCAATTGGCGGTCAATATGTAATCGTATACCTAGTCGTGAACGATAAGACGAATATTAATGATGATTATCGCTATCCTCATCTTGCCATTTATGCGCATCTTGTAAAAGAAGGCTTAGACCCACTATCCGAACAGTTTTTATTGCATGAATCATACAACCGTTCTATTTTATTGCCTACTATAATAAACTGCCAAGCTGGCTTTAATTCTCTCAAATTACAGAGTAATATTTGTAGTTGGCACTATTTTTCGGCTGTAATATATCCTATCCAACTCATAGATGTCACGGAATTCATAAAATTTTCATCATCTGGGTCGATAATTCACAAAGATATTATTTCAAAATCAGATACACATGCTTTTGAAAATCATTCTATTTTTATGATTAATCAAACCATCATTCCGTTGCCATATGGTGGTTCGATTACCTTCAATATATCATCAATACCTGATGCTAATAATCTTCGTGGATCATTACAAATATATTCAAGTTTAGATACTTTAAGTAACCCTCATCAAATATTTGAAGCTAATTATGATCATTTTGAAAATGATTATAATCATTTAGAATCTTATGGCATTTTTGATAATAATACTTTATGGTTTGTATACGGAAATGCTTCATATAATCGGAAACTAATTACGATAGATGTGGATCGGATTTATACTGATTGTATGTGTAAAAGTTCTTTACATTCAATTTTATCGCAATTATTGATCTCTCTTCCTCTTTTTTGCTTCTTAGTCGGTTATGAAAATGCTGTAATCTTATCATCATACCCTGAACTGGATATGTTGATACCTGTATTATTTGATGATAATATCAATATCTATCTTTTTTCTTCGATTGTTCCATCATCAGGAAATATCTCTATTTATCAAATAATCGATCAAGATACCCTTTTATTGCGCCAAATCTACCCCGCTTCTTCTCATTGCTTAGTGTATAATTCCACAATTTTGTCTTGTCAAACTTTATCTAGTACATTTAATCGAATTAATAGCAATTATACAATTATTGTTAATGATAATTTTGTTACTTCGTTATTTAATGAACCTCTTCGTGGCATTAAGAAAGGTGTTTGGAATGTAATGACTTCAAAGAGTAAGTAATTTAAATAGCCACTACTGTCATTCATTATTTTTTTAGCTATTTAACTAATTAATTTATGTTTTCATACTTATTTAATTGAAGCGTATAATTCTGTGATATATGGTATATTAATTTTTATTATTGTCATTTTGTTTTTCTTATTAACGCTTAAATTTTCCTTAAATTTATATTTATTTAAAGATTCAACAGAAGCTCTTTTACGTTTAAATTCTGATGGTTCTTTTTATTTTTCAAGTTATAATCAATCTCAACTACTTGACGATTTGCTGCGACAAATTAAAGAGAGCATTCCTCTAATGAATAATCAATTACAAATAACGCATAATGTTCAATAAGACCCCTCGGATTTTTCTAAACTTTTGATCGAATTTTCAATTAATAAAGCAACTGATCCTTTGAATGAACCTAGTGTAAATGATATTGTGAAAGATTTAGATATCATGATAAGGAACAAGTATATTAGCGCACTTTCTGATAAAAAATTTATGATATTTCTTGATGAACAATATGGATTTCAGGTCAAACGTATGCAATTATCATAATTCATTTTGCGTAGCATGTGCCTGATTTTATTTTTCTAATATTTTTATCAAAAATTTTCAGCAAATTTGTTGACTGAAATTAAATACAAGTTATTGGCTCTTGCAATTATTGCATTTGTGTTATTTGTGGTTTATCTTTTGGCTCGATGGCGTTACCCAAAGGTAGATCCTATTTTTAGAATTTCATCTCTCTATATCAGACAATGTTTAACTTATGCATTTTATTATTTAATAGGGCAAAAATTTCATTATTATTAAATTGTCTATGATGATTTTGGATTTGCTACTTGATTGTCTTTTTATAATTGAAAATGGACATGATATTTCATACTTATTTATTCCTAGGCATGTCAAATTTTAAATTTTTATGTTAATTATTTGGTTTTTAAACTTGGATTTATATTATTCATACTAACCTTTATTATTATCAAATAGCCTTGTTATTCTAATAATATCACTATTATTCAATCTTGGTTTATCATTTTTCATTGTTGTAAATAAATTACACAATAATGTGAAATTTCTTAATTGGATAATTCAACGAGTGTTTCAATCTCTACAATAATTGCTTGTATGGATATTTCAGCATTGAACATTTTATCTTCAAATTTTGCTGGATTTGATTTCTTTTTTGCCCCAATGTCTAAAAGAGCTGAAACAATAATTAACTATGGTATGATAATTGACTTGTTAATAGAAGATATCCCACAACTTATTATTCAGGTATGCTTTTAAATCTTTACAAAATATTTAAATAATATTTTTTATTGATAATTATATAATATCTTTTATTTATAGATAATGTATTGTAAAAATGTAATTCTATATACAGTTGATACTGTCTAAATGCATACTGCATACTGTCTAAATGCATAATTTTTTAAAAAAAATTAATAGTAATATGCATTTAGACAGTTAATTTTCTGATATCTGATTGGTTAATACTGTATAAATGCATAAAATTAATTTTTTTTTGTCTTTTCCGACCGTATGCATTTAGACAGTATCGACTGTATATTTATACCATTGATTATACTAATTACATCTGCATTAATTCTTATTATTAATATCTTATCAAGCTTTAATATTTGTTGGATAAATTATAATTTTAGAATGACATAAATAATATTTTAATATGTAGTATTAATATTAATGCATCTGTTTGACATATACAAAGATGCATTGAGGGTGCTAAATATATAAATGGTATATCATCTTTTTTATAATTAAAGTAAAATCATTGTAATGTTTAGCTCTTTTATAATTTTGGCTTGATCATATTTACCTATTGTAACTATGTAATTATGGTAATTGCACAATGCGATCACAGGAACATAGAATATAAAAATGCAGTGATTACACATATAATGAAATTTCTTTATGTTAAAATTTCATTCTTAGCATACTATACATTCCATTTCATTACATTTTTTTGTATATTCTTTCACAGCATTATGGTTTACTCAACATACTATATTATGAGCCCATCAAAAAAAATTATGCATGTCACCTATTGTGAACAATGAGTCATCCTCGTGGGTCAAAAGGCAATTTTAGTGTGGTGATTAAATCTATCTGTAAAAAAATTTTATACATTTAAACGATTTAATCCTTAATTTCAATATAGTGAACAATAATAAGTTACCCAGCGATTTACAATGATTTGCCTGCCCAACAATATTATTATTGGATGATAGTTAAAGGTAGTTTACCTATTACAGTATCTCTACGAATAATAAATTATTATAGTAAACTCTAAATAAAATGAATTGACTTAATTTAGAATAAAATGAAATTTAATAGTAAATATTCATGAAATTGATAATATCGTGTGGTAAATAAATTGTTAGTTTTCTCTCAAAATATATAATTCTTTTATGCATCTGGCTTTTTTAATTCAGTTAATGTATCATACAGGAATTATTAACTTAACATATGATAACACTATTTGTTACTAAGACTAACTTGTCATGACTCTAGAGGATTGTTATCAGTACACAAAATTACGGCATAATGTATCCTAATTTTTTTTTTGGCATATTTCTATTAAATCGAATTTAGAATTTATAGCCAGAATGTGTAAAAAATTAGTTACAATGTGAAGTAATTGTTAAAAGTTTTGATAAAATGATATTAATGTAAACATTTGATTTTTATCACGAAAATCATGGGGTTACACTTTTTGCAAACCACTATAATAATGTTGAATATAATTGTTTTTTGAAATCATATACAGTCTTATTTGGATTATATCCTTCAAAAGCATTGTTGGAGATATAACTAAGAAATTTACAAAAACATTTAAAAGAGAAAATTTATCTTGCTTTTTATGGGATATAACTCAGGTCGTGATAATAACCCAGGGTGGTATAATTCAGGTATGACTGCAAACAAAACTTTGAATACAGTATATAATCAAAAAATTTCAATAAACCTTTGATATAATCTGTTATCCAAACCTGTGCTAAAATCTTACTTTTTATTGACAAGTGAATTAAAACTGTAAACTGTAAAATAAACTGACCAATGATAAACGAATTTTAAACTCCAAAATTAGATTTTATGAAAATGTACTCAAAAATCAATAACAATTGATATTTTGTAAATAGAAACTTATGAAATAATATCGAATTTAAAAACATTTTTCATAATTACAATAGTTTGAAAGTATCATAAATGAAGTTCTCTATTCTAGTTCGAAAATAAAATTTATAAATTATTTTACTAAAATGGATTCTTTCAACTTTGAAGCAAATACTTTGACTAATATTCTTCTATTAGATCCACATGATATAGAATAAATAAAATAAAAAATGAATTACCTATCTAAATGCCTCAATTGCTAAATAATTGAATAATCAACATAAATAAAAAACTATGTGCTTACCTCAAATACACTTCAAATGTCTCAAATGGAATAAATAGTTTATGATCAGTAAGTACTAATTTGAGAGAGATAAGAAAACCAACAAATGAATATAAATAATAATATCAGGAAATAGTACTGTAAGCAAGGCCATTGACAAGGCAGCAAGCAAATGATCATTGAATATTTGCTAAGAACCTATCATTAAAAGTAGACTATTTAAGCTATTTAAGCTTTAGCATTATCAGTTTTAGATCAATTCTTATGTGAAAACAATCAACCAAATTGCTATAATTATTAAAAATGAACGAGTTTGTGACCCAGTAATTATTTTGTAAATGTACGAGCCTGGAGCTTAAACTTTATGCTTGATACGATCTCTATTTAAAATTATCAAATAATAGCTTTAAAAATCAATATAATAAATGTTATGCTCACCAGCTAATAATTTAACAGAAACATTCGTTAAAATATATATCATTAAATATAAAAATGCATGTTTAAACCTTATAAGCAAACTTATGCTTACCATCTAGTAATTTAATAATAACATTGCCAAAAATATTTATGATTAGATAGAAAAAATTTTAAACTCTATGTCATCAAATAATAGTTTGAGATAATTAAAATAAAGCCTATACTTCTTGCTAATAATTTAATAGATACATTTGAATATAATTAGATATAAGGATGTACGTATCATTAAAAATTATAAAATAATAAAATCGAAAATAGTTATAATAAAGCTGTATTTACCCACTAATAATTCGACAAAAAAAAATATAAATAGCATTATGTAAAAATTTTAATAGAATAATTTTGGAAAAATATAATAAAGATTATACTTACTCGCTAAAAATAAATTTGTTAGATACAAAAACGCATGTTTTAAATTTTAATAATGAGTTTTAAAAATCATCATAAAAAAACTTATAATTACCAACTAATAATTTACCAGAATTATTTGCAAAAATGTTTATAATTAGATAAAATTGTAATTTAAGTATTATTTAATAAATAACTATAATAAAGCAATTCGACAAGAAAAATCATATAAAATTATAAATAATATTATTTAAAAATTATCAAAATGACAATTTTATAATGAAGCTTATACTTACGCACTAACAATTTAACAAAAGTATTTAATAAAATTATATAATACTAAATATAAATATTCGCAATTTAAAATCATTTGTTAAATACATATCGTTAAATATAAAGATGAATAATTAATAATTATAAAATAATAAATTAAAAATAAATATAATTATAATCATTTGGCAAAAGAAATCATATAAAGTTATAAATGTATAATTTAAAATTTTCAAATGACAGAAATAAATATAATAAAATTATGCTTACTCTGAATAATTACTTTAACAAAAGTATTTGACAAAATATATATCATCAGATATAAAAGTGCATGGTTTAAAAATTACAAATATTTTTAAAATAATTATAATAAATCATATGCTTACCAGCTAATAAATTATCAGAAATATTTATTAAAATATATACTATTAAATCATGATTTAAACTTATAGTAAAGCTTATGCTTACCAACTAATAATTTAATAAAGATATTTTGTTAAATATTTATTAGAAATAAAGATGCATAATTTAGAAGTTATTATTATCAAAGGATAATTTTAGAAGCAATTAAAATAAATTTATACTTACAAACTAATAATTTAATTGAAGCTTTTGATAAAATATTATTATTAGATATTCTTAATAGGATTATGTAATTTAGCACATATGCGTTATAACTAGGGCGATTGCCGCAAATATTTTTTAATGGCATGCCATTAATACTTGTTGGCACATATGATGAATTATTTATATAATTTCCAGGATGCCACTAAACCACATGATAATATACTCATTTTGGATTGGTCAGTTATCGTTCTGTATTTGATTCAAGTCACATATTTCGAATATTTTTAGCTTGGCCTTGCTCGCATTTACGTTTGTTCATTTTCTATTTGTAATCTTCCTATATATATGCTACGAGCATTCTTTATTATGAATGACTATCTGCCTTGCGCCAACGACTCTAGTTATAACGCATACACTTAATCAACCAATTAGATTGTAAGAATCGGTGCAATATGAAATCGAAAAAAATAGCGATGATTTAGTATATTCTAATAAAAAATCCTTGTAAAATTTTGAAATAATGCAGTCTTTACTAACACTCTAACCTAAATTGCAACCCTACCCTAAATTAACAAGTTATTTGGTTTTTTTGATTTCACGTTACACCGGATCTTACAGGTGCTTTATAACGCACCTGCAATGATTCTAAATAGGTATTATATAACAATTTGAAAAATAAATAATATAAAGCTATACTTACTTTCTAATAAATTGGCAAAAGAAAACATATATTATAAATTTATAATTGTATAATTTAAAATAACATTTTTAATACCAAATATAACAAAACCTAAACATACCCGCTAATCATTTAATAGAGGCATTTGTTAAAA